ATTTTATATATATATATATATATATATTAAATGTCAATTAAGTTAATTTGTCAGAAGGTTGTGATTGAGTGATGATGACGGAGAGATTGTAGTCGATGATGACAATCAAACAGACGTAATTGGGTAACAATAGAAAAATGAGAAATGCCTATTGACTTTAGTCATGAGTCTATTGTTGGGATGGTCTGACTGAGTGTCAAAAATTGACCCAACACGTCAACTTGACATGAATGAAAATAATCCCTGTTTTAGTTGACTTGAATAATTTTTTTGATCAATTTGAATAAAGAATCCTAACACATTCAATTTTTGGGTTGCTTTCCAGGAAGTCCTTAAACCCAAAATCAACTCAAAATTGATTAGTTAATCTAAAATTATCTTACAATTGACCAGAATTGGATTTGACTAAAAATAATTGACATGTCTTATGTTAAATGAGTTGAGTTCGGGTCAGCAGGTTGAAAATGGGCCGGTTCGGGTTGAATTTTCGGACTCATTTAATATTTGAGCCAAATTTGGGTCCACCGTAGTTGAGAATTTGCCAATTGAAGCTGAAGTATATTTATACTTCCGAGCCATCTTTAGTCACCTTCTGCCCCAATCGATCCATTCCAATGAACACGAGGAGTCATAAACCTATGATTTATCGGTAATAGGAGTTTCAGCTACCGTCGCCGCCCTATTTCGTCTGCAAGGAGAGTTTGATCATCTTGAAGGCATAATCAGTCATCACAGTAGCTCGCGTCTCTCTCTCTCTCGCGCGCGCGCATCTGGCTGGTTCCATTACCTTGTTGAAGCTTTTAGGGCAGAAGGGATGGCGGGGATATCTCTTCTTCTCAATCTGCTGAAGAGCGCGCAGGGCTCCTCTTCCTCCTCGTCCTCTTCTGCTCTATTGATCCATTCCCATGCTCTCTTTACTGCGAGCGCCGCCGCTTCAGCGGCGGCCGCGGATATCCCTATATCGCTGCCTCCAAACCCTTCGCTTCTAGAGCCATTTTTGGGTGAGCTGTCGGAATTCCTATCCTATTATTATTATATTTTTTTAATGTTTGCATCTTGCTTTGTCAATTTTCTATTCTTTCCAATGTTTTCAAGATTCTCGTTCGTCTTGCACTCGGCTACGATCCATGTGAAATAGTTGGAATCAAATTTTTTTTTTTGAAGTTGGTAGTCGGCATTACTGTCTCTTACATGATGAACTATTTCTTCTTCTTGCTTTCGGGTAGTGGATGAAATAAACTTACTGTTTGTTGAAGCATCTAGAGAAAATTGGAAAGCTTTCATGAGGCTGTAGTTAGAGAAGTGCAAGAAAAGAACCTTTTCATGGCGATATTGTAAGAATTGCTTAATATAATGTCACAAGGAATAATTGTTTCATTGAATAAATCTGTCAAAAAGTAGAATTGGGTTGGCACCGCAGCATTAAAAAGTTGTTTGTATAAATTAACAATATGTTTAATAGATTGCACTACACATGAACGGCATGTAGATATTTGATAAATGAAAGGATTCTTTTTATAGTTATAGTTTATCGATTGTTATGGCTTATAATAACATTACAATAAACTTGAGAAATATGCATGGCCGTGGATGAATAGAGTGCTCATTTACGATGGTTTAAGGTTAATAGTGTATAGCTAGGATAAAACCTGAAGGAAAAAAAAAAATCTTAATATTGTTAAAGTTAGTATATTTTACACAAATATTTTTTTTTTGTAAAATTTAAAATATTTAAAAGCATAAGGTAAAGGTTTAATAACATTTAAAGGAATTAAAAGGAGAAATATGACCTTTTAATATACAATGTATCGGTATATAGATGTCCATTTCATTGATTTGATCGACTTATCATCCTATTTTCATGACTCTAGCATTTTAAATGAACAATTTATTCTCTTCCCTTTTAAAGAATTTTTTATTTTCTTAAATTTTGGAGAGAGCCCCATTTTGAGAACCCTTAGAAATGTTTTGCATTCTCCTATTGCACGTTGATATCTATAAAATACAATAAATAGAAAGATGCACATCCCTTTTGTATGGCCTAAAGTTTGTTGTTGCCTCTATTTTTCTTAAAGATTAAATCCAATATATTGTATAGGGCTCTGAAATTAATTAGGGTTTTCCATCATTAATTACCTTTGTAAATTAACTCTCTTTCTTTCTCTCAATTTGTCCATTAAACCATAAGTATAGAAACTATGTACTTTCTTAAATTATATTGTTGCTATGAGGCACTAGCACCAACATATGATTTGGGAGAAATCCTATAGAATGGAGGATAAGGCTGATGGAGACTTGATTTGTAACTAGGAACTGATAAAAACAGTTGGATTTATTCATTATACACTTTAAAATTGTTGTTTTGTCAATAAAGAATATTTATCATCAAATTGAAGAAGTGAATATTTCTTTTGCATAAAGGAAAAAATAGCTTGATGCATATTACTTATAAGAGAAATTTACATATATACCACACAGTTCTTATGTATTTTTATATCTAACACCCAAAGTTTAATATTTACACTTATAACACTTTAGTGTGAATAATCTATGCATGAAAAGGTGTATTTTACTTTTGAAAAGGTAGTGATGATGATATTTTTGATGTGATGTTACAGGTTTGAGTGAGATGCGTGTAAATATGAATGTTGAGGTATTAGATATGTAAAAACATAAGAATTATGTGGTATGTATGTAAATTCCCCTATTTATAAATAATGTCATGTTGAGGCACGAGGCAACACTGCAACCATTCCGTGTCTGTCAAACTGTTGTTTTGAAATGAATATCTATCCTATCATTCAATGAATAGCTGAGTTTTTTTGAGAAGTTTCTATGATATGTTCATTTTGAAAATGCTATATAAAAAAAATGACATTTCTAATAAAAATAATTTAGATGCATCCGGTTATTGTAGCCTAATTGATGCACAGTTCAAATATGATTTTGGGGCTTGTATTGTCTGATCATGTAGAGGTTTCGACACAATTGATATCTTGTAGGGAACTTGATAACATCCTTCCTACAGAAGTTCAGATCTTTGTTAAATAAACTATACTTTATGCAAATAATGGTCATGCAAATTATTTAATTTTGCAATCCGTAAAGCATAAATATTCGATTGACTCTTAGCCAAGATTCATGATTTTTAATATTTTTCTTTTATTGCAAGATATACTATATCATTCTTTTTGAAGATGTGCTTCACAGTTCAAAGTTTTTTGATGCTATTGGTTCAGCTTATTTTGCATCAGGAACTTGCAATTTACTCCTATCGTTTAATTGTATTGCATACCTAATTGCAGTGATGGAGGAATTTCTGTTGCCTATTGTGATGCTGGTGCAGCTACAGCATGGAATGAAAATTTCATCCCCAATCTTAGCAGTGCAACTGAAAATGAGACATCTATTGCATTTGAGTGTAAAAAGTACCCAATTGAGCACAGGCCTCTATTCTCGGCCTTTCAACTTAGACCTCTGGCTCTCACATCTTTAAGGTCCTTTTTGCAGTTCTATTTGCCCCTTATTGAAATTCACCCACCAGTGGAAGATGATGATGACTTCACACTAGATGTGCCTGAAGAAAGGCATGTTGATTTATTGACTCCATTCCACAACTCACTCAAACAAATTGTTCGTGAGGTGAATCTTTTTTCATATTTATCTCTTTTCAGTCATGCAAATTCCCATTCTGGCATCTTTTTGTGTACCATTGGTAACTTTTTGTAAATTATCAAAACCTCAGAGAAAAATTGATTTTCTTTGTTAAATGAGAGTAAGTTTTCTTGCTCTAAAGAAAGTTATCTTTTGAAGAAAGAGGGTAGAAATTTTAGTTCGAGACAGAAGGATAATTTTATTTTTTTATAATTTTGTAAACTAATACAGGGATACTCTAGTGTCATCATATTTAGTGTAACGAATTGCATATCAGATTTAAATTTACAAGCAAAAGTTGGAACATATCAACTATGTATCAAATTGATTTAACATTTCTTAGTTCTTAGATTTCCTAATGCAATTATTTGATGCTAGTCACAAAAATACAAACAAAAAAAATTGAATTCGTGCTTGACAGGCCAACAATAAAATAAAATTTTTGTCCCTTTTAATGAAAGTGCACACAAAATTGGCGTTAATGATAATTTAATGATTGCTATAGTATAAACTTAGTAGATAAATTAAGGTTCAATGAAAGCTACATCTTGATAAAAAAGTCACATCTAATAAAAATTTCCGCTTGTATGAGTTATTGACCACATCCAATAATGTAGACTGACCAATAACTGAAATATAGAATAGAACAAGATCAATAAGAGAAATAACCAAAAATAATAAAGCTGGTCTCACACTGGTAAATGAAGAATACTTCCCCTTGCATCTTAAAAAATCCACGGCTAATATGTACCCGAGTTCAAAGAGGCAATAACATACTCAAATTCGTAAGCATTGCTGATTATTCTGCTATCAGCACCTCAAGACTGAAATTTGCTATAAGATAGAAACCTAACAATCCAACAGCATATAAGTCCAGTTGATATTAATCCATATAAACATAAAAATATCCGTTCCAAACCAATTATTTTCGCTGCACTGACAATGAAATCAAACCCAAAATACTCAAAATATCAAAATAATGAAGAACATATCATGGTCTCATGAAAATTAAAAAAAAAAAAATGTAAACAATCATGACATCATAATTGTTGATTTGTTAATTTTAGCATGCAAGATTTATGCTTTCAACTTGTGCAAAACCCACATATGTCGATCACATAGACTTGCTAGGTTTGGTAAATCGAAGAGATGCATTCGATGCATTTTTGGCTACTTCTACTGCTTATTTTATTGACCTGTTTTTAATACTTTTATTTTACCTTTCTTTCTATTTTGGGCTCTGTGCTCTTCTAATTGACTAAAGTAAGGTTTGGATCCATGCCTTTCATTTCTATTAATTATTTTTATTATCAAATCAATCCTATTTTTCTGCTTATTTTATTTTTGAATTCCTTGGAAGGCCCTTTTACTTGTATGTAGAAATAGCTTCGTTATGTTTTGCTATGTGTATTACAGACTTCAGCTGTAACGATTAGGCGGGTCCTGGAGAGACTTGCTGTGCATTACTGTTCACAAAGAATGGCATGGAAACTTCTTAAAGGTACCTCCTTTATCCTTTTGTATAATGATACAGAAGTGGTAAAACAATAAAATACTTTTCAGGTTCTATCTCAGCAAGGCTAGTTATTTATCACTCTTCTCTTATTATGCATGCCGATTAGACATCTTGTACATTGGTGCTACTACATTTAATATTATTTTATTCCTTTAATATTGCAACTTCTAATACTAGGAGGACATAGCTTACAATAAATGTCACGCATCCTGCCATTATTATTTAAGTGGTAGTGATTCTAAAGTTCTTTGTGCAATGGAATACTGATTAAACTTACACGATATCATCCAATTTGATTTTTGCTGTAATCAAGTTCAAAAGATATTTTATGTGAATAACTTTTATTGTTGATTTTATTAATTTAGTTTAAATATATAGTTGTCAAGTAATACTAGTTACCTACCTAGTTATGAGTTATTAATTTCTCTATTTGTGGCTGGGAATCTAAGACCTCAAGTGCTATGGAAAAAGTTACAAAATGAGTTTTACATATAATAAATATAGAAAAAAAAGTGGGGACAAGGATTAGTAGTCGGCTTTTAGATGTAGAGGAGTTGTGGGGTCTTCTAGAGGTAAAGCCGAGTAGCTTTTTAAGGTATAGTCAATTGCTAGGTTTAGATCAATTCGACCAGCTGGTAAAAACCTTGGTGGATGTTTCATCTTGAATTGATGTGTGTGTGAGTCCACCTGTTCCTTGGCTGGTAGATGCTTCAAACCTAGTTAGATGAGTTCTCTTGGAACCTAGTTGGTGAGTCTCACTGGATCTGTCTAGCGAGTCCGTGTACAGGTCAGCTAATGAATCTTTTTTTATCCCATCTCGATGAGCTTTCCGTCTTGCTCTTTTTTTGGGTGAGTTTTGCCTCTGCGATATACAATTTCATTTAAACCTCTCTTGCTATTTTCCAAGGAAATAGTAGCATTAAAATTTAAATAATTTAATTTTTTTTACTTTCCTAATATAAATTAACCACAAAGAATTCAATTCATATAAAGGGTTAAAACAATTTCAAATCATGCCCATTTGATCTATTCATAATTTAACAAAATTAAATCAAAATAATCCAACCTTCATACAATATCTAAATATGAAAAATTTAAAAGAAAGAGAAGATAAGTTTCAAAGGCCTCATGCTTGGATAAGGACAACATATTAAGAGTTTTAAAAGGAGAGCCTTCATAATCTATTTCCATTCTCAAGAGTTCTAGATTTATAAATTGAGAGATCTAATGCTTTGAAGGCTGACTGTGATTTCCTTCAAACATTATTCTTACCAAATGGTGAACCGGTCCTTGTAACTCTTTTCATACCTTTGCTGATGGTAATTACTGCAACCAGGGCATTAGGAGTTTGTTATGGTAGTTTCCTGGGAAGGCCTTAATAAGAAGAATTAGAAGCAGAGGAGGATCAATTAGAGGTTATCAAGATTATTTGTGTGAAAGAAAAAATGATCTTTTGTTCCATAGTCCAATGAGGGTTTAAATAAACTCACAAGGATTTAAATAACAAAACAAATAAGTACTAAATCTCATAAAAAAGAAACAATAATTAAGGAACAAATCCAAAATATCGAAGCAAAAAACAAATTTCTTATTCCAAAGAACTCAACAAATTCTTGCTTGGGAGGGATGAATGGTCACCTCCCTTTGCTATTTAGTTAGGGGATCCTCCAAATTATGAATCTTGTCCTTTAGCTTTATCTGATCTTGAAAATAGTAGGAGATGAGGGAAGAGACTTAATGCTTGTTATTTAGAAAATCACTTGACTTGTTTCGAAGTTTATCCCTTCTTGGCAATCTTATTGGTCTCCTTCGATCCATCTTGCATCGAGGTGATCCTTTTGTCCAAAATCCACCCTTTGCAATGCTAAGTTCTTCCATAATAAGAACCTACCTTCTATGCCCCTCTTTGTTGTTGCACATCAAATGCTTGAGTAACTTTAATTCTCTGCACTAACAACTTATTAAATCTCCATGTATTTAATTGACATTCATTTTCCCATGTTTTTGATGTATTTGGAATAATTTATATTAAAGTGGCTTTCAATCTTTTCCTTTTAATTTGTTCTTTCTTAAGTGTAATCCTACTAGATCTTCTTTTTTAAATGTGCACATGATATTTTGTTTGTCACGAAAAGCTTTGAATTTCAACTATACGATATTATAAGGTTCTCCTCTACTTCCTGATAGATCTTCCGGAGCCCTTTTAGGAATCATTGCACTCGTCAAAGTTCACTATCATTGTCTTTTGATTTCCATGGAGAAATCTTGACCTAGTTGAGTAGTTCAAAGTGCTTCCATGCTTCTTACTGTTCACCTCTTTTGCAGCTTTCTTGATTGTGAAAGTATTTTTTTTTTTTTTGCAAGTTTAGCTCATTTTATTGGTTTAGCTCATTTTATTGAAACAATCAACAACGATGAAGAAGTTATTAATTATATAGGCCTTATTTCTTTGATACTCCTGCCAATTAGCTATTGAAATGAACTCTTACGGGTGCCATGTACTAGAAAAGGTGCGTAAAGGTCCACCTTTTAACTTGACTACTTTGAAATGCTGGAAATGCTCCTTGACATGAACAACTGCTTAATCAAGTGCATTTTTGGCCAAATAAGCATGCTGCTTTTGATTTTGAAGAGATTTCGCCTCTCCAATATCATATAATCCTCAAAGTATAGGCCTTCCATATGGAAGTTAAATGGTTGCCATCCTTGGAGGCTTTTAGCTGAACCCCATGATGCAGGAGCCGATCAACTATTATTTTGCTTGCCTTAATAGAGTCTTCAATGCTTTTTGAAATCTTGGCTTTGCTGCATTGGCTTTTTGACCCCATATTTAGGGTGGATTTCAAAAGATATGAAAAATCTCCCTCCAAGCCGTACATACGGCTTTCATTGAATACGGCTTTCCACAGAATTCTATATGTATCTATGAGATCGAGTCTGGAATTCTGTTTACTCACTTTCACTTTCACTTTCAATTGAGTATCCGCTTCCCCCCTTTTCCTGCTAGGATAGGAAATCTTGCATTTGACATTTCCATACGATCGAGTCCTTGGGTTTCCGAAACTTTCGTTATTGGGTTAGCCATACGCATGCTGTACATCTTGAGGTGCACCGACAAGGCCCTCTATGATCATGACCAAAGCAATACAAGTGTTATTGATCTGTTTGGAAAGCACTATTTATATATTTTATCACTATTTTTAATTATTATAGGCATGCCATCTAGTAACATGTGCCATGGTGTTTAATGGACACTTTGTGCTTATTTAGAAATCCACTCAATTCCAAAATCACGCCATATGCTAATATGTAGGTGACAAGATATGTTCAATGTGAATTAACTGATATTTAGAGTGTTCTAAGTGTTTAGTGCAATTAATGATTGTACTCAATAATACTAGTAAATACACACTATTAACCAACTAATCTAGTTTTTTAAATGTGACACCATTTATATGATTAGCTAATACACTAAGTATTCGACTTGTAAGCTCAATATTAATGAAAATAACTAATATACCAAGGACAAAAGTTGCATACATGTTAATACATAATATAATTATGGTGATTATACTACTTATGTTACAAGGGAGCAGCTAACTATAAATGGAAGTAATTTGATTTACTCTATATAGTAGAGTAACGAGCAATTATAGCATTCACCACATTAGCATTTCACTATTAAATTAATTAAGTATGCATGGAACTAACTCTAAAACCCTTAAGGAATTTTGTGCATTATGTTTTTTACATGCTCCCACTCAACTGACATACATTGATGCATATTCTTCATTCTGATTGCGATTCAACTGCTTCGGACTTGCACCTATAAGTCTAGTTCCTTTCGTCCTCAAGACTGTATAGAAACCTTACAACGTCATTTTTGAAGGCAAATCCACGTATGGCTTGATCCGGTAAGCGCACATGAGATTTGTGCACAACTCTACTAAGTTATACTTGGCATCAGTTCTTTCTTTTACACGGTAAAAGATTAACGAAAGTTCTCTTGAACTTTGGCGGTGGACAAAGGAAATCAACAACTAAATATACCATCTCAATCTCTTAAAAAAATGGATGTTATACCATATATAGCAAATCATTGTATCTGAAGAGATTGAATGAGGAATGATATTATCAAATAGAAGCCCTTCAAGGATTTTCTTAGATGTGATGAACAATTCTTTTAATTAAAATATTTCCTTAAATAATTTATTTTGAAGACTTTAAGTTTTCATAAATTTGTAGGTTTTTCTCTTCAAAATGATGTTTATATAACAACTTTCTAAAATAACCCTTAAAAATAACTCATTTTCATTCCATAAAAACCTTTCAAAAGGTTCCCTAAATATATGCATGAAGATGCACTCAACCATCACATAATTTGGTCATATTGGGACCCCGATATGGGAATGGTAGACTCTTTATGGTGTTTGCGGGTTCTGCATATTTTGGGTTACTATGTAGAATATCATTTATGTAATTTTAAAGAAAAAATTATTTAAATCATAACTTAATAATGATAGACATAAATCATGATATTATATTTAATTACATTCAAATTATTTAATGAATACAATGGAGTCAAAATTAAGCTCAAATTTATAAATATAATTAATGGCCAATTAATTATAATTAAAATATAATTACCTATTATTAGGATGTTCAAGCAATTGATGAAATATATAAGGCATGCAAAGTTAGGTGAATTAGTAATATGGAAAATATATAACTAAGAAATATTCAATTAAAATTAAGTTTATTTTATTAATTAAATCATTAATGATATGGTTGCACATAAATCATAAACTTGCAAATATGGTAATATAATAGAAATTTGGATGAAAATTTGTTAGAAACTTTATTTGATTGATGATCAAATAATGAATGAGTTAAAATATGGTAAATAATAAAATAAAATCTAAATTAATTTTTGCATATACAAATTAGAGAATCAATCAATTAAATAAAAAGATAGCTTATATGAA